CACACACACACACACACACACACACACACACACACACACACACACACACACACACACACACACACGTACACATGCGAGCACAATTATAATTCTCCAGTAAACAACCAATTGCTGATGCAGAAAATGATACCACATATCTTACACCAAAAGAAAAAGGTCCGACTTCTATTCACATTCCCTCTTTTTCGCTCAGAACAGCGAACGTTTTTACAGCACGCCCCAAGGGTCACAGCTTTAGCAAAAAGAGTTCCAATACAGAAAAGAAGACGGAACCTCATTCCCTCCTCCCCTCCCCCAAAATCTCTCTCTCTCTCTCTCTCTCTCTCTCTCTCTCTCTCTCCTCCCCACTCAAATTTTTCCCTTTCTTCCGTCTCCATTGTCTCCCTTCTGCAAGTTCGATTCCATCTTTCTGACTTGTGCCCTCCATCCCCCCTCCCGATCTTCCCCCAGAAATCTTCTTCTTTTTTTTCCCTGTCCTCTTCTCTCCTTGTCCTGTGTCTGTCACCTCTCTCCTCCCGTCTTTTTGCACACCTTCTTCGCCTCCGTTAGGATCCTCTTTGAGGTCCTACTCCTCCAATACTCGATGTCCTTTCCTCTGTCTGTGGCTCTTTCTCTGTTCATTGCTCTCTCTCCATCATCTGCATACCGACATACCCTATCCCTTTCGTGATCGAGGCCCATCGTCATTTTCCTGCTCTCTTCATTCCTTGCCTGTTCCCTCACCTCCGCTCTGAGATCCTCTTCCTGCCTTGCAATCTCTTCGTCCCCACCTTGTCTGGATCCCCTTACATGACCTGCATCCCTGTTGCTTTGGCCTCCTTTCCCCTGCACTTCATCCGTTTCTACATGAGGACCCTGATTGGCTGGCATTCCGACCTCCTCCTCTTCTCGACCCCACATCGTGATTGGCCCCCTCCCAATCCGCGCTGCCCATCCCCTTCTCCGCAAATCGGGTTCCCGACCCACATCCTCCTCCCATTTACTTTAGGACCCTCCTCAACGTCTTCCTCTTCCACGACCTCCGTCACGCCGTCCAACTTACCCTGTATACTTCACCCTATCGTGATGACTCTCCTTCAGCTTCCTCTGTCATCGCATCCCGTCCTCACCGAACAAATCCCCACTCTCTCATACATATATACCATATAGGTAATAAAATGATTTATATACAAATTCTAATTTTAATATATTTTTATATATAAAATTAGAATTTGTACATTATTTATTACTATTTTATTATTGATATTATTGATACTAAGAGAGTAATTATTCCTCCTGATCCCACATCCTCCCCCTCCCCCTCTGCCCTTCTCCTGCTATTGCAGCTTTTCAAATTTTCAATGGGGACCTTCTCCTGCCTGCATGACCTGGCACTTGACCTCCCCCTACTGTTCCTTTCCCCCCTGCCTCTCCGCATGCACGGCATGATCCTCACCTACTCCTTCAGATAGCGGCCGTGCAAAAATCCAATTACACTTGCAAAATGGCACCCCCACACAAAATGGAGTTGCAGGAACTTGCAGCCCTAAAAGTGGATGGTGGGAGCAGAGGAGGGATGTAGGGAGGGAGGGAGAGAGAGAGTGGGTGCACTTTACATATGCAGGGGGAACCTGCCTATTTGGTTTTGGGGCGAAGTGTGAATGGAACCCTCCACCTCTTCACACACAACACGGCTAAGAAAGAGAGAGGGAGGGTGGACAGGAGAGAGGGAGGGAGAGGTAGGGAAGGAGCGAGGGAGGGAGGGAGGGAGCACTTCACTAAGGCGCGGGCACTCACCTATTTCCTCTTTGGGCCGAGAATGAATAGAACGCTCCACATCTTCAGGCACAACACCGCAGGCACACAGAGGGGGAGCCAGAGAGAGCGAGCGAGCGAGCGAGCCAGAAAGAGAGAGAGAGGGAGAGCGAGAGGGAGAGAGAAAGAGAGAGAGAGGGAGAGCGAGAGGGAGAGAGAGAGGGGGGAAGAGAGAAAGAGAGAGAGAGAGAGAGAGAGGGAGAAGCTGCACCTCCGCACGCCCAGGATAAGCATGACTGTGCCAGACTGTTTCATCAGACTTTCACCAATTCATCAGGAGGTTCAACCCCGACAGTCTGGCAAGGATGCATTTGACCCATGGATAAGGACTCACCATATCGCCAAGAGTTAGCGATACCCCTGAGAAAACTGGTGTGTGTGTGTGTGTGTGTGTTGTGAATGTTCACCACAGCATCCCCTGTTCCACCCAGATGAGTAGATGCAAAATCGCAGCAACTTTACCTCTGTTGTAGAAGATGAAGCATGCTTGAGATGAATCAATCCAAGAAGGAAACATTGTTGCCTCCATAGTTAGCAACATCAGGCACAATAGAAACGTTACCTTTATGTGTGTGTGTGAGTCTGTGTACGTGTGTGTGTGTGTGTGTGTGTGTGTGTGTGTGTGTGTGTGTGAGATATGATGTGTGTGCGCACGTGCATGTGTGTGTGTGTGAGCACGTGCATGTGTATGTGTTTCTGTGTGCGCGTGTGTGTGCACGTGTGTGCGTGTGTGCATGTGGGTGTGTGGGTGTGTGGGTGTGTGCGTGTGTGCGTGTGGGTGTGTGGGTGTGAGAGAGATACACACTTGCAATATTGGACAACACGTGCGAGGCTTTACTTTCACAGAATACAAGTCCTGTCCATGGCATGCAACAACAAACGTCGCGATTACCCTTCTACCTCTCTGCTCAGGTAATCCTTTCAGCCATTATCAACAGTATATATACCCTATGGTCCAAGCACTTCCTCGTTCAGCTGAACCCTAGTCCCTGCAGTCTCCTCTCAATCTTCATGTCATCGTCGCATCGTTGAAATCCCACCGTTCAGATGCATCCGTAGTTACTCTTTCGTCGAAAATCCTCTTCTCCGAAAAATCCCCAGTGTTCTTTTGTCCTTGAAATATAATCGCCGATGCTGTTGATGTTAACGTGGTCGTGTTGTGTCCAAAGGTTCATTTCCGAAAATGTTCTGCGAATATATAAATAAATATCGCGATTGAATTTCTTCGAGAATGTTTTTGTTACATTTATATTTCGTGAAAAGTCCAAAAATTGTTGTTATTATGGAATCGGAACTTTGTTATATTCACACTCGTCATTCTCTTTGAATTACCTTGGTAAGTTTTCCTGAATTCCGTCTCCGTTCGTGAATATTCATTTTTTGGATTTTGTATTTCTTTTTCTTTTTTTTTTGGATTTCGTATTTCGGAATTAGGTCTCTTTGAATTAATTCCGTCTCCATTCGTGAATATTCATTTTATTTTTATTTATTTAATTATTTATTTATTTATTTTGTATTTCGGAATTAGGGTATTCTCGTATTCCGAGTGTTGTATCGGTTTAACTTCCGAGTTGAAAGAACGATCTGTTTCGTGTATCCGTGAATCTAAAAAATATATATGTACGAAATTTGCGATTCCGACGAATTCACGACATTGCGTCGTTTTTATCTCCGGAATTACCTTGGTAAGTTTACTTAAATTCCGTCTTCGTTCGTGAAGGAATTCATTTCTGGTTTTCGAAATTTTGGTTTTCTTCCGAGTGTTGCACCGTTTTAACTTGTGAGTCTGAAGAACGATTTGTTTCATGATTCGGAGATTTTATGCTTTTATATCCATCCATGCCTTCCGGACAATTCGTTTGGTATATCAGTTAGGTACCGACGAAGTCTTTGCGTGACTTTTCTGGATATCTGAGGAGAGGTTCCTGTTGTCTATCTGTACACCAGCCTTGTTTGAACCATTCTTCCTGTTGTCTATTATCTGCCACCCCGACCATTGTTTGACCGCAGCTCGATGCCGAGTTCGACGGCGTGCTCAAACAGCCGTCGCCATATGCAATGGGATGGGATGGGATGAGCAGGGGCCATGCTTCACTTGGGAGGGTTTAGTTGATGATTCGAGAATCCACGGGATGATTGGCCCGGGGAAGTTGTTGGAAGTCGCCTCCAACTATAGGAGTGCCAAGCAGGTTTTGCATTGTATGAATGAAACAATCAGCATTCAATCTGCTTGGCAGTTGCTCTTTGCGTGGGGGTAGCGTTGACATGGGAGCCATAATGCCGGACGTTCAGCTTGCAACATTTCCTGGAAGGCAAAAGGCAAAGAAGAAACACAGTAGCACGTGCCTTCCCCTTCTCTCTCTCTCTCTCTCTCTCTCTCTCTCTCTCTCTCTCTCTCTCTCTCTCTCTCTCTCTCTCTCTCTCTCTTCCGTCCCCAGCCCACCGTTTTCTGATCTCTCTCGAGTATGGGTTTAAACTCCCTTTTGTTAAACTTCGTCGTTATTTACCAAAGAGAGAGTAGCTCCCTTTTGTTAAACTTTTATTTACCAAACACAGAGTGCCTGAGGCGGGCAAAATGTGGAGGGGTGATGGTTGCCATTCAAGACAGGTCAAGTTCATCCAGTAGGCTGCGCCATCTGGGAGGCTCCTCATCAAAGATATAGGTCAACGGTGAAACGAGCACTCCGCTCCCTCCTATTCCACGAAGCTGATTGATTGCCTTATACAGCTGTTTCTTGGGCACAATCACGCAGATGGCGAAGTAGGAGCCGGGATCTCGGTCCTCGCTCTTTGTCTGCTGGGAGGAGGAGGAGGGAGTTGCCGGGGTGTTGTACACGCGGCTGATGGTGGGTCCTTGTAGACCAGTGAACTGCGTTCCTTCGAATAATCGCCTTGCCACGTCGTCGTGCGATTCGCCGCGGATATTGGCAGTGACGATGAACTGGTTTTCCGCCCTCAGATGCGCTTCAATCCTTTCCAGAAGCTCGTGTGCGACCTCCAGCACACCTTTGCTCTTGAGAAGCGCCTTCCTACTAGCGATGAGCACGCCTTGGCTGTGGAGCACGGTCCCTCCTTCGATCTCCTTGAGGTTGTTCTCTCTCAAGGTGGTCCCACTGCTCACCAAGTCGAGAATCACGTCCGCAGTTCCCATCGCCGGCGCAGCTTCGAGGGCGCCGTCTGCCGTCGATATCTGCACGTGGGGTACCCCTTTCTCTTGGAGAAATCGGCTTCCCACGTGGGTGTAGCCTGTCACTACACGCATCGGGTTCTCTACCGTCCATTCCGGCATAGCCGCCAGCTGATCGAAGGTCTGGATCTCGGCGAACCGGCCGTCCGTTGGGATCCCCATCGCCAGGTGGCAATGGCCGAACCCCAAAGAGTCGTGAACAATGACCAGATCGTTGTCATCTTCACCGTACTCCCTCAGCATATCATAGCCGACTATCCCGAAGTCGACGTCCCCGCTGCGGACTTTGCGCACTACGTCCGACGCACGCTGGAACCAGACCTCCACCGCTTCCAACTCAGGAATCCTGGCAATGTATTGGCGTGGATTAGGCTTCTTCACATTCAATTCGCATTCTCGCAGGAGTTCTAGAGTGTCCTCGGCCATGCGACCTTTGCTTGGGAGAGCCAGACGAACAGACGATCGTTGTTGTGGAGCGCTACGCGGAGATAGCGGGAGAGGAGACCTTGTAGAAGTAGCAAAGGGAGATGTGGGGGAGGAGGAGGAGGAGACGGAGGAGACGGCCTTGTCCAACGTCAACAGGTCGCCCTCGTTTCCAGCACTGCTGCTACTGCTGCTGCAGTTGATTCTCGTCACCTGCGAGTGCGCACATGCCAGAAAATCCCTCTTGCCGTCCGTAGGCCATCCCCTTCCCACCGGCAGCAGGTCCATCGTCCTGAGCCGCCTCCATTTCCGGTTTACTTTTCGCCCCATCATGCTCCCCATCGACATCGTCTCCCTCGCCATCTCCTTCGTGATTGTTCGCTTAGCCATCGCCACCTCCGCCTTAGCCGCTTCAATCACCTGGGACGAACAAGAGATGACCTGACTGGGACATTTCTGCTGCAACGCTGGCACTGACGACTGCTGCTGCTCAATCCATCGACTACCTGGTTTGCCTAAGCACAGAGATCGTAGCAAACAGCCTGCCATCGCCGACGAGGCCATCGCTGCTCGTTCTGCCTCCAGGCAGTTGTTCTTCACCCTCCCTTGCGCCCGTCCTTTCCCTCGCGGTACTTTTACCCGCGGCCTTCAACTTTTGTTGTCGTTTCAGTACCCTGCAATGAAAACCACTTATGTTACTCACATTGATAATATTACAAAAACCACAGAATAACCTAAAATAGTACTTATCAAAATATTTGCCAGATTTAGTTAGACCAATGTTGCTCTAATGACCTCATTAGGCAGTTTCCCTCTTCTTTGACAAGGAGTTAACAATTCCGGTTGAGTTGTCAGTAACGGACTCTTTGGAAGTTCATCTCATTATACATCACCTACTTACATAGTTACCTCTTCTTCAGTAAGCAGTTCACCATTCCAGTTCAATGATGCATATGCACCGTTGTGTGATGACAGCCAAGAAGACTGCTCTTCACGCACAGTCTCTTCACATAGGATCTCCCAATTTCTTCCGTCTTCACAAATATATCCATTTTCCTGCAAAAAGGCGAAAAGGAAATCAGCGAACTGTTGAGCTCCAAAAGTTTCCTCTTTCGTATTATTTCATTGAAAAAATCAAGAATATGTTCATTAAGCCGATCTGACGCATACAACTTTGGCTAGCGTATACAATCACATGTCAATCAGATATTCGGAGTCTACACAAGTCTCTCTCTCTCTCTCTCTCTCTCTCTCTCTCTCTCTCTCTCTCTCTCTCTCTCTCNCTCTCTCTCTCTCTCTCTCTCTCTCTCTCTCTCTCTCTCTCTCTCTCTCTCTCTCTCTCTCTCTCTCTCTCTCCCAATAGCCTGACCCGCTTGCCCGCAGTGAGGTGTGAGTTCGAGGTGAAGTAGAAACACTCACTCTAGCAGGAATCCACGTCGAAGCTCACATCGGAGCACTTAGCAGGAACTCCCGATCCACGGGCGAACCACCGATCCACGCAGCACCGATTCACGAAAGCACCAACTCACAAAGTACAAAGCACCAAAGCACCAAGCACGGAGCACCAAGTCGCATGGACCGCTGATTCGCGAACCATGAAGCGCGCAGCACCATACACCGAATCCACCACGAACCCGCGATGCACCAAGCACCGAATTCACGATGCTCCAAGCACTGAATCCACGAAGTAGCAAGGACGAAGCGCGAAGCATGAAGCACAGAATACACAATGCTTCACGGAAGCACCAAGCACGTAGCACACCAAATTCACGGAGAACATCGACTCACGTACCACAAGCGCACCAAAGCGGAAGGGCCCCCGCGGGGGGGTGGGGGGGGAGGAGAGAGAGAGAGAGAATGCAGGCGGGACTAAGCACGTCGAGCAGGTGGGAGTAGGCCCGGGCGTAGCGAGTTGGCGAAAGCAGGATCGTAGGCGCGGGAGTAGGCGTGGAGTGGCCGTAGGCCCGTCGAGTACCGGCCGGCCCCAAAAACCCTTCCACAAAAAACGACGAAAAACAACTGATAANGTGGAGTGGCCGTAGGCCCGTCGAGTACCGGCCGGCCCCAAAAACCCTTCCACAAAAAACGACGAAAAACAACTGATAAGAGAAAAGAAAAAAGAAAAAGCGGAAGGGCCGTTTGGGCGGGCCGTTTCAGGCCATGCGCTTCCGGTACGAACCGGCGACGGCCCAGATTGCGGGCCGATCACCACCCGTGGACGGCCCAGATCGCAGGCCGATGAAAAAAGTTTCTTGTAGGCCTGCGATCTAGGCCGTCCGCAGGTGGTGATCGGCCCGCAATCTGGGCCGTGCGATACCCCTTAGACCACCAGTTAGCGGTTTTTTTATATTATCCTAATCCTACCCCTTAGACCACCAGTACTTGGGCCAGCTATCGGCCGCGGTGCTTCCCCGTTAACGTGCCACGCCTGTCGGGCTTCGGGGTACCGGACCTCAATGGCTGGAAGCACCAGCCAAAAGAAAGTTGAAACGGCGCCCCGGCGGTTCGGCGAAACTTGGCGCGCAGGGGGTCGGCCGGCTCGGCATCAATAGCTGGGCCAAGTACTGGTGGTTTAAGCAGCGTTGGCCGCAAGGGGGGGGGTCGATGGTCTTCTGCACGCCGGAATCGGGTCGAAGTTTTGGTGTGGCCCAGCAGATGAGGGCGATCGAGGGCCGGTGGGCGTGCAGAATGGCGCGCATACCGAATTGTTCACAGAGCGCCACTAAACGAGAGAGTGCGCCCACGGAGCCGAATACACAGCAGGCATCGATGCGGATGATTATCTCGACGCGCCCGCCGTCAGATAGCATTTCCATATCGGTTTGTGTCAAGCCCCCTTTTTTTGTTTTATTTTTTGTTTTTATGTTTTGTATTCTAAAACAAAAAAAAAGAATTTGTCATTTTGTTTCGTATTTCTCATTCTGGCATGTCATTTTGTTTTCTTTTTTTGCCTTTTGTTTTCGTTTTGTTTCCGAAACAAAAAGAAAGACTTTGATGGAGGGACTAAGCGGGATGTCGACGTCGTAGCGCTATGCTCCCATGACGCGCGTGCCATAGCGATTAGGGTTTTTTTTTTTGCGTGGGGCGCAACGTTATAACCTGGTGTACACAGCACAGGGAGAGACGTAGTCTCCTCAGCTGTCGACCTAACACGTGTCGAGCACGAGGGGACACGAGTTTATCCATAGCCTTTGTGAAAGGGGAGGCGGATCTTTAGCCTGGGCTTGTTGTAGATCTCGAAGCGTCCGTGTAGGAGAGTTCTTATATATGAACAAGAGAACATTTATAACAAGTTATGAGACGAAGAACGCTGAGGTGCAGCGTTCTTCCGATGGAACAAGCCTGAGTCGTATGTATGTGGAAAGGGGTAGTGGCTAACACGAGGGAGTATAGCTTATCGAACGGGGGTTCTTGTACTCACGGTTGAAGAACCCTAGTACATTCCCGTTTGCAGACTAGCAAGGGAAGTAAAGGCGAAAAGGAAAGCAGACCTGCGGAGGTTGTACGAGTACAAGTACATGTTTGTAAGCAGAATAGCAAGGGAGAGGAAAGTTGAGGACGAATGCAGACGTTTTGAGAAGATACGGACTACACGACAGATGAGGTACGCGAGAGCAGTAGGAGCAGCCGCCACAAAAATGCTAGATTGACTACGGGAGTGCGACACTGTTGCTGGGGAATTTGAGCAAAAAGGCGTCAATGACATTTATACAATAGCGACGAGCTTCTCCGACTGAAGGTCCATTTACATCCTATCACACGAGGTAAAAACCTCATATCCTATCCTGATCTTGTCTCATTATCATAGTGTTGTTTCGACAAATCACTTTAGCCTCTCTACTTGGGTGCACGTACTTTCCACTACTATCCACTGACCTAATTAACCGAGACATCCCTCTTGAAGTAGAGACAAGACTCTCAGCCTTATGAGAGTTGATTGCTATCTTGTTATGAAGAAGGGCGCTTTCAAGCGCCCTGAATAGGGATTTACTAGCCTTTTTTTTAGGGATGTTTACCTTTCCCTTCGTTTTGGGTAGAGTTCCTATTTTTTTTGCTGATTTTGCCCCCTTATGAGAAACTCGTATCTAGCTCATTCTGAAGAAGGGCATCTTTTGTGCCCTGAGTAGGGATTTACAAACCTTTTTTGGAGGGATGTTTACCCTTCCCTTCGTTTTGGGTAGATTTTTCCTTTCTTTGTTGATTTTTGTCCCTTGCTATTTTTTTTTTTGTCCGTTGCTGATTTAGGTACTAAAATTTTCATTTTTCTTTTTTTTGCGGATTTAGTTTTTTTGCTCTTAGCCAATAGGGCAAGGGAGAAAGAGAAACAGGTACACGTTTTTTCTGTTTCGTATGTACTGTATCGAGTGTTTATCCTCCTTTTTGGTAATGTACGTACAATCTTCGGGAAGATGCTTCCTTGGAAGGCAGCACTCATATGCGTCTCTGAGTCCCTGAGTCATGGATAGTGACCAGCAGACAGCCAGTGTTACTGTTATTTCCTCCCCAGACCTCGTAAGCAAGCGAGGCTTGGAACTGGGCCAACTTTACTCTGCACTATCTTTTATTTGCTTACTTTAGTAGGTCTTAGGGCATACTCACTCTCAGCGACAACTCTCACCTGACGTTTTGGCTTCAGCATAGCCTTACCTTCAAGTTTCATCACATGCGCTAGGCATGTGCCACTGTACCTGAAGCCCTGAGTTCCGAATTTCAGGTCGTCACCCAACCTCGAGCTATTTGGCTAGCCTTTGGGATAGTCGACAACGAAGCAGATTTTTTTACTGGGTCCTGACTAGCAAGGGGGAGAAAAGATTCGGGCAGAAATCAAGGGCTGGATACGCAGAAGAAGACAGGAGTTTCGGAACCTGCCAATAGCAGGCGTTCGCCTGCAGTGGTCGGCTAGTGGGGAGAGTCTTGAAAAGGAGGTGTTGGTGGTGGCGAAAAATTGGCGGTAGTAAGAGGTCAGTGGGGGAGATAATGATTAAGCAGTGGCTGGAAGAAGAAATGTGAGAGTCAGTGACAGCCAGGAACAGTCGTCATGTACGATTCTTTGGAAAAGCCAGGAGCTCAGGCAAATTAAGAGTACTTTGAAGAAACGGCCGCAGACTTCTTATGGAGTTAAACGTGCGGTGCTCGAACTGTGGGTGGGATCTAAGATGAGTGTGTGTGATAGGGCAGTGTCGTTGGCCTCAAAACGGTGATGGTCAGTCATTGATAGCGCATGATGTCCATCTGAGGAATAGACGTGATCATATTCACGGTGCAGGGAAAGTGAAACAAAGACAAGACCTATTGCAGCAACACCTCCTAATTTATTCGGTATACTACGAAGAATTGCATAAATAGGTAAAAAATACCATTCTGACACTATGTGAGCTRGAGTTGACATAGGATTTGCAGGTATATAATTGTCAGGATGTCCCAATACGTTAGGTGCATAAAAAACAAAAATGGACAAAAATATTGCAAAGGCTACCCAACCTACTAAATCTTTGAGGGAAATAGCATAACTGACGCCTTCATACATAGACAATGACCATGACGACCATGATGATGACTATGATGATGAGGATGATGATCGTGATGAGGATCATGATAATGATGATGAGGATAATAATGATGATGATGATGATGATGATAATGATGATAATGATGATAGTGGTGATAATGGTGATATGATTCGTTGGAATCAGAAGACGGGGGATGCCAACTTTGACGGCGATAAGGAATTTAAGTTGTTGGAATCGTTGAAATTGTTGGAATCACCCCAAAACAGTGCCGACTATGATGATGATGATGATGATGATGATGATGATAATTGTGGCATGAATCATTGGAATCAGAGGACTGCGGTTAAAAAAAGGGAAGATGATAATGCGGGTCTGGGTGGTGTACTTTATTGGGATAAGAAGCGAAGTGAAGAGAGGGGAGTGAATTTCAAGGATTCTGGTGACATGAAAGGAAGTGAGCAAAAGGACAATGACAACAGTGTTGGAAAAAATCGTACCTGGATGGGGAGGAGTCGGGAATGGAGAATTCCTTGGTGCGGAGAGAGAACGTGTGTGTGTGTGTGTGTGTGT